TTTGACATGCGAGCGGACCTTCCAAATACAGCCGGGGTCGAATAGTTCCGGAGAAGAATTAGGCCTCTCTTTAACAGGCCGTAACTCCGTTGTTCGTGGGTCTACAGTCAAATCAATTAGTGTTCTGGAATTGCCACGACTTCAGTTATCATATGTACACATATAATGTACGGAACAGTCGAATTGCCTACCCGCCAAAAACGTCATATTTCCTTGAATCCAATATAGCCGCCAAACTGAGCCCCTTGGCCCCATGGGTAATCAGTTGAAATTGAAGGTAATCGGATTCAAGAGCTGCCCCAGAAATTTGGTAGTCATTGGACGTGTAGATTCGGAGATTATTACTTTGGACTTTGAAATGTGTGAATTATTTTTGAATTATCTGCCTTTTGCTATTGAGCCTAGAGTCCTGCGTTTTTGGTGCAATCAACTTCAGTGTTGTGGGCACCTTGGTGATTTCTTGGAAGCGATTGTGAGTAATGGTTTAGGAGCTATGTTTGGCAAAATACGGTGGAATAATAAATAGTAATAATCCGAACGATTTCAATAGGTCTCCTGCCTGGAGGCAAGGGGCCCTAATTAATTCATAAAGCATGATTGCAATACAAAATGTATCCTGTAAAATTAGAATGTGTTCATGTCAATAACAAGTTGTGCAAAAGGTAGCTGCAAATAAATATTACTTAACATACCGGCAGCATCGAGTCCAACCATCAGAATTCTAGCTGGGTCTCTGAAAAACCCGGAGAACAGGCCTGTAAAGTCAGCAAGTGTATCCAAGATATCACCCATGATTTGAGTAGCTTGGACACGAGAAGTCAATATTCAGTATCTGAGACAGCGCTCTAGTCCTTGATCAAGGTTGGTCGAGTTAATGTCGTCTTATGTTGTGTCTCGATCAGAGCTTGAGTGATACGGTATTATTAAACCTGGTTTATATAGTCGACGAGGCTCTAGCGTGGAGGGATATATTTAATTATTTTAGCCGTTGTATCAGGTACTGGTGTAGACTCGTGAGAATGAATGGTGAAAATGGAAGTGTCAACTTCGTGTCTTATGTTCGTTCACTATTGCTTAAATTTGGATTCTCTTTTGTGCGGATTACACAAGACTTTGGCGACGTAGATGTATTATTGCAACGTTTAAGCAACGCTCCAAGGATATCTGTTTCCAAACTAGGAGCAGTGATATTGGTACTGTGATATTGGTAGTAGTTCCTTTCTTAAAGTTTATTCATCGTACAAGTCAGTTTTGGAAACAGAAGTGTACATAACTACGTTGTACACTAATAGAGACTTGAGGCGTATATTATGTGAATTTCGTTGCTTATCGCACAAATTGGGCGTCTAACGTACGTGTCTGACTGCTATACAGTGATGTATTATATTTATGTATATGTATTGTATGGGCACAAACAAACAGTTATGTATTTTTTGTACTCTGGGCCATGAGGCCATTATACGAATTAAACTCTCACTCTCACACTCTCTATCTATTTTTGTCACGAAATGTTTAACAAAACAATCCCCATGGGAGTCACAACGTGATAAATTATGACGTAACACGTGTACACTAGTATACCACTGAATATGGGCAGTGATATGGACAATGAAAATGGGTTAACATGTTGCTACTCTTATAGTAGGTGTAGGAGTAGTCACTCAAAGAGCCCCTTGTGTTATTCAACTTGCTAAAGTACCCATCTGTAGCGTCGTTGTGTGACTTGTATTGAACCAATGTCACTGAGGGACACTCGACTTGGTCCAATATCGCTTTGAAAATGCATAAGAAAATATGTTCCCAAACCCAGTAGTGTATCATAAATCATGCAACAGATCGGGCCACCATTACGGGTACCTTATATTGCGATTTCTGTGTTGGGTCTATATATGCCAATAGTGTGTGTGCAGATTAAAGCTAGATCTGGCCACCATTACGGGTATCTAATATTGCGATCTCTGTGTTGGGTCTATATATGCCAATAGTGTGTGTGCAGATTAAAGCTAGATCTGGCCACCATTACGGGTATCTAATATTGCGATTTCCGTGTTGGGTCTATATATGCCAATAGTGTGTGTGCAGATTAAAGCTAGATCTGACCACCATTACGGGTATCTAATATTGAGATTTCTGTGTTGGGTCTATATATGCCAATAGTGTGTGTGCAGATTAAAGCTAGATCTGGCCACCATTACGGGTATATAATATTGCGATTTCTGTGTTGGGTCTATATATGCCAATAGTGTGTGTGCAGATTAAAGCTATATCTGGCCACCATTACGGGTATCTAATATTGAGATTTCTGTGTTGGGTCTATATATGCCAATAGTGTGTGTGCAGATTAAAGCTAGATCTGGCCACCATTACGGGTATCTAATATTGCGATTTCCGTGTTGGGTCTATATATGCCAATAGTGTGTGTGCAGATTAAAGCTAGATCTGGCCACCATTACGGGTATATAATATTGCGATTTCTGTGTTGGGTCTATATGCCAATAGTGTGTGTGCAGATTAAAGCTATACACATACCACACAACAAACGACTGTTAAACAGGAGTGAGTGAGTTTAATTCTACGCCGCATTTAGCAATATTCCAGAAATATCACCAGAAATTAGTACCCATGTGAGGAATCGCACCTATTTAACAGGATACCTCTGTCTATTGCAGACCAAAAAGCTTCAGCCAAGCTTAATAGCTGTTGTTGTTTAACGCTGCACTCAGCAATATTCCAACTATATGGCGGCGGTCTGTAAATAATCGAGTCTGGGCCAGGCAATCGAGTGATCAACAGCATGAGCATCGATCTACACAACTGGGATACGATGACATGTGTTTGAAGTTTGAAAGGTATAAACTCGACCACTGACGAGTGGCGGTTGCAGTATTCAGTTTCTCAGTGGGCGAGTGGGTGGTTGAGTGAATAGCGTTTTACGCCGCAGAGTAAACAGAGGGTATTTTGGGTAAAGGTCTTCTGTCAGCCTTAGCCACACTAAGGTTGGGTCGGACCAACCTTAAAATTTCACCTTAACTAAAACGGAAGGTAGATTCGTACAACGGGGCGTCAACCTTAGCAAAGGCCTAAGGTTAAACTTAAGGAGATAAGGTAACCTTAGAGCTACGGTTGTTTTGTACAACGGGACCCTGGAGATTGTCTCTCTCTCTCTCTCTCTCTCTCTCTCTCTCTCTCTCTCTCTCTCTCTCTCTCTCTCTCTCTCTCTGAGTCTCTCTGTGTCTCTCTGTCTCTCTGTGTCTCTCTCTGTCCCTCTCTGTCTCTCTGTCTCTCTCTCTCTCTCTCTCTCTCTCTCTCTCTCTCTGTGTCTCTCTCTTTCTGTGTGTCTCTCTGTGTGTGTGTCTCTCTCTCTCCCTCTCTCCTCTATCCCCCCTCTCTCTCTGTCTCTGTCTCTCTCTCTCTGTCTCTCTCTCTCTCTCTCTCTCTCTCTCTCTCTCTCTCTCTCTCTCTCTCTCTCTCTCTCAAAACAATATAGTGTGAAACAACAAAAAACTGTAATACATTTAACAAATTAACAAATTGTATTATAAAAGTAACCAAGTTTACAAATCAAGACACATCATAATTAGAAATTTCAAAGGCAGAACAATTGCAAGGGTAGTATAACATATTAGCAAAGGAAATGGCAGTGTTCTATATTGAGCCAGACATCACTACGTACATGTAACACATCAGGTCTTTGATGGCATTTAGAAGGGATACACATCAGGAAGAAAGTTTTATCGATGTCAACTTCTTTATTATGAGGAACACAACGTTTCTTACTCCTCCATCAAGTGAATGAATGATATGAGGCAGAGAGTATATAACTGTACACGTCGGTATAAACACTGCATGTATCAATTTACAACACGCACACTAAACAGAAATTGTGACAAAATAGGGGCCGGGTAACCTAGTGGTTAAACTGTTCGTTCGTCATGACGAAGACCCGGGTTCGATTCCCAACAAATTACAATGTGTGTAATAATGTTAAAAGCAGCGTAAAAGCGCAACTAACTCACTGATAAACTATTCATACGTTCGCTACATTTTATGGCACTTCGAATACTTCTCATAATGACTTATCTCCCTTTGACCACTCAGTTGTCCCTTTTGACCAATTCAGTAAATTTTGTAAAACAATTGTTCATCAAAGTCACTGATAGAAAAAGTGATTCAAAAGCATTACAACTCAAAATATCAATATTTTACATGATTTTGGACCACATAGTGTTATTGAGACAATACATCTAAATAAAAAGTAGAAGTAATGGCTGCTTACATTACATTACATTCCAGTAGGTGAGAGAGTATGGTTCTATATCGCTTTTAGCTTTTTAGCAATATTCCAGCAATATCAAGTCGGGGGACACCAGAAATGGACTTCACACATTGTACCCATGTAAGGAATCAAACCGGGGTCTTCGGCGTGACGAGCGAACATTTTAACCACTAGGCTACCAAACCAACACTCATTATATTACAAGTTGTGTCTTTCTACAACAGGCATGATTCGTCACGTTCACATCAAAAGTCAAATGTTCCTACAGTGCATCACATCATATCTATCCAGGTAACATATATCTATATTTAACATAAAGAAAGAGATTGTGACGTGTTCTCTCACTTACAACATGTAAATACCTTCACTTCATCTGATGTACACAGGTACATTCGACCACGACCACCAACACACAGTCCCCGTGGATTCTTGACATCATCCTGTGATGTCAATATATTTCTATCAAACTGTCCTGACTCTGTCAGATGGATGACTCTGTGTTGTGGGGAGTCTGTCACCAGGATGTCGCCTGTGCTGGTACTTGTGATACCACCTGGAACCTTCAGTGCTGTGTCTCTTGTAGGTCTGTAGTTGAACACCACATCTCCCTCGGGGGTCAGACACACGACACACTTGGTTCCACAGTCAGACACCAGGATGTTTCCTGTACTCGTGGTACAGAGGAAGTTGGGGAACTCTAAGATGTTTCCACCTCTGTGACCAGAACAGACTTCAGCACGTGTCCCGACATATCCAGGATATCAACACAGGGAGGGGACTCGGAACTTGCTGCTAGTGTTGATGGTGTCAGAGACGTTATACCCCAGTACTGTTTGCTGGTTGTGATGGTCGACAGCAGCACCAGGTCAGGGTTCACTTCAACTGTTACAATCTGACCGGTACCCATCACAGTGACAGCCACCTGGTTGTGTTTCAGCCTTGTTATACCCCATGGTCTACCTTCCAGACTGAGCTTGCTGTGACGTGGCTGACTGTTCCTGGTGTAGAAGGACTTGACACTGTTGTTGGTGTAGTCTGTAACTACCACTGTGTCTGTACCATTCACCACTAGCATGGTTACGTCATAGGGGTCTCCTCCACCTGCATCTCCTGCTACAGTCACATCAATGGTGTCCTGTAACAAAGGAGCAGCCTTCAGGTCCAGCACATCGTCATACTGGACGTGTATCTCACCCAGATGGAGATCTTCCAGTGCTCTACTCAGCTTGTCCGTGTTCTGTCTGAATGTTATCCTGTCTATTCTTCCCTTCTCCTTCACGTCTACGACTCCGACAGTTTCCACATCACCGGCCTCACATCCCTGATACATCTCATACACATCCATGTCACACTCAGATTGTAGAGCCTGGTCTATCAGCTCAGTCTGTTGTTGGTACATCTGTACTGACATTTCACCTGACTTTATGGTTGCCTTCAGTTGTCCAATGTGTCTGTCAGACATCTCTTTCAGTTCAGACAGAAGTTTCCGTTCCTTGGCTTTGATCATCTGTATTGCTGTGAGACTTGCAGACTTGATGCTTGATTCTATTTGTATATATAGTGCCAATTCTTCTTTGACAATGGAGTTTTGTTTTCCAACATATGTTTTTATCTCATCGTTTTTCTTTAATAAATTCTCTTTATTCCTTTTCAGCTCGGTTTTCATTGCAGGAATCTCTGACTCAATTTCAACAACCATGTCACATTTCCTGTGATGGATAGTGCAGCATGTTTGACAAACAGCTGTTTTACAGTCTTTGCAAAGATATTTCATATTCTCGTCCTTGTGAACTTTACACATGACCTTTCTCTTGACCTTGACCTTTGTCTCACCAGACAGGTCAACTACGTCATGGTGACGGAAAGAGGGAATTCGTTTGTGCATCCTTGTACATTGTTCACATAGTGCGTCGTCACAAACAGAACACCAAGATGTAGCTGCAGTTGTCTCCCGTTCCTCCTTACAATAACTGCAGTTAGTTGTATCTGAAATAACCATTCATTCATGTGGTGATATTAACCTGGTGATATCACAATGTATGATAGGGCTAGATGTGGTGATATTAACGTGGTGACATCACAATGTATTATAGGGCTAGATGTGGTGATATTAACCTCGTGACATCATAATGCGTTATAGGGCTAGATGTGGTGATATTAACCTGGTGACATCACAATATATTATAAGGCTAGATGTGGTGATATTAACCTGGTGATATCACAATGTATGATAGGGCTAGATGTGGTGATATTAACGTGGTGACATCACAATGCATTATAGGGCTAGATGTGGTGATATTAACATGGTGACATCACAATGTATTATGGGGCTAGATGTGGTGATATTAACCTGGTGACATCACAATATATTACAAGGGTAGATCTGGTGATATTAACCACCTGACATCACAATGTATTATATGGCTAGATGTGGTGATATTAACGTGGTGACATCACAATGTATTACAGGGTTAGATGTGGTGCTATAAACCTCGTGACATCACAATGTATTATAGGGCCAGATGTGGTGATATTAACCTGGTGACATCACAACGTATTATAGGGCTAGGTGTGGTGATATTAACCTGGTGACATCACAATATATTATAGGGCTAGATGTGGTGATATTAACGTGGTGACATCACAATGTATTATAGGGCTAGATGTGGTGATATTAACCTCGTGACATCACAATGTATTATATGGCTAGATGTGGTGATATTGAAGTGGTGACATCACAATGTATTACAGGGCTAGATGTGGTGATATTAACCTGGTGACATCACAATGTATTATATGGCTAGATGTGGTGATATTGAAGTGGTGACATCACAATGTATTACAGGGCTAGATGTGGTGATATTAACCTCGTGACATCACAATTTATTATACGGCCAGATGTGGTGATATTAACATGGTGACATCACAGTGTATTATAGGGCTAGATGTGGTGATATTAACCTCGTGACATCACAATTTATTATAGGGCCAGATGTGGTGATATTAACATGGTGACATCAGAGTGTATTACAGGGCTAGATGTGGTGATATTAACCTGGTGACATCACAATTTATTATAGGGCCAGATGTGGTGATATTAACATGGTGACATCACAGTGTATTATAGGGCTAGATGTGGTGATATTAACCTCGTGACATCATAATTTATTATAGGGCCAGATGTGGTGATACTAACATGGTGACATCACAGTGTATTATAGGGCTAGATGGGCTGATATTAACCTGGTGACAACACAATGTATTATAGGGCTATATGTGGTGATATTGAAGTGGTGACATCACAATGTATTACAGGGCTAGATGTGGTGATATTAACCTCGTGACATCATAATGCATTATAGTGCTAGATGTGGTGATATTAACCTGTTGACATCACAATATATTATAAGGCTACATGTGGTGATATTAACCTGGTGATATCACAATGTATGATAGGGCTAGATGTGGTGATATTAACGTGGTGACATCACAATGTATTACAGGGCTAGATGTGGTGCTATTAACCTCGTGACATCACAATGTATTATAGGGCCAGATGTGGTGATATTAACCTGGTGACATCACAACGTATTATAGGGCTAGGTGTGGTGATATTAACCTGGTGACATCACAATATATCATAGGGCCAGATGTGGTGATATTAACGTGGTGACATCACAATGTATTATAGGGCTAGATGTGGTGATATTAACCTGGTGACATCACAATGTATTATAGGGCTAGATGTGGTGATATTGAAGTGGTGACATCATAATGTATTACAGGGCTAGATGTGGTGATATTAACCTGGTGACATCACAATGTATTATATGGCTAGATGTGGTGATATTGAAGTGGTGACATCACAATGTATTACAGGGCTAGATGTGGTGATATTAACCTCGTGACATTACAATTTATTATAGGGCCAGATGTGGTGATATTAACATGGTGACATCACAGTGTGTTATAGGGCTAGATGTGGTGATATTAACCTCGTGACATCACAATCTATTATAGGGCCAGATGTGGTGATATTAACATGGTGACATCACAGTGTATTACAGGGCTAGATGTGGTGATATTAACCTCGTGACATCACAATTTATTATAGGGCCAGATGTGGTGATATTAACATGGTGACATCACAGTGTATTATAGGGCTAGATGTGGTGATATTAACCTCGTGACATCACAATTTATTATAGGGCCAGATGTGGTGATACTAACATGGTGACATCACAGTGTATTATAGGGCTAGATGTGCTGATATTAACCTGGTGACAACACAATGTATTATATGGCTAGATGTGGTGATATTGAAGTGGTGACATCACAATGTATTACAGGGCTAGATGTGGTGATATTAACCTCGTGACATCACAATTTATTATAGGGCCAGATGTGGTGATATTACCTGGTGACATCACAATGTATTATAGGGCCAGATGTGGTGATATTAACCTGGTGACATCACAATGTATTATAGGGCCAGATGTGGTGATATTAACCTGGTGACATCACAATGTATTATAGGGCCAGATGTGGTGATATTAACCTCGTGACATCACAATGTATTATAGGGCTAGATGTGGTGATATTAACCTGTTGACATCACAATATATTATAGTGCCAGATGTGGTGATATTAGCCTGGTGACATCAAAATGTATTATAGCGCTAGGTGTGGTGATATTAACCTCGCGACAACACAATGTATTATAGGGCCAGATGTGGTGATATTAACCTGGTGACATCACAATGTACTATAGGGCTAGATGAAGTGATATTAACCTGGTGACATCACAATGTATTATAGGGCTAGATGTGGTGATATTAACCTCGTGACATCACATTGTATTATAGGGTTAGATGTGGTGATATTAAAGTGGTGACATCACAATGTATTTTAGGGCTAGATGAGGTGATATGAACTTGGTGACATCACAATATATTATAGGGCCAGATGTGGTGCTATTGACCTGGTGACGTCACATTGTATTATAGGTCTAGATGTGGTTATATTAACCTGGTGATATCACTATATATTATAGGGCTAGATGTGGCGATATTAACCTGGTGACATCACAATGTATTATAGGGCTGAATGTGGTGATATTAACCTGGTGACATTACAATATATTATAGGGCTAGATGTGGTTATATTAACATGGTGACATCACATTGTATTATAGGGCTAGATGTGGTTATATTAACCTGGTGACATCACAATATATTATAGGGCTAGATGTGGTGATATTAACCTGGTGACATCACAATGTATTATAGGGCTGGATGTGTCGCATCATGTTCCTACTTGACACATGCGAGAAAATGTATCGGAAACATCAGGTTGAAACGTCATGTAAATATGTTTGAAATTGTCTCACCGTCAACGTTGTTGTACGGATCATGAATAAGGTTTATATATGTCTTTGGTCATGTCACCTGATATGCTGTGTCTTGCTCGTTGAACACATATCCACAATAAAAGGTCACATTCCTCACAAACAGTTGTTTTACATACATCAAACTATACTAGTATATACATAGCAGCGGTCACACAGTGTTCATAACATCACAAACATTTATACTGCTTAAATCAATTATTCTGTTACCTGCTTGCAAACAACACGTATATTGCTACAACCTACAACTATTCACCTTTAGATCCGGGGCCAAACGAGTCCAAAAGTCCCTGGATGACAAAGCTCGGCTTGACGTCATCCGCCCACTCCTCCACTGGTCTCTCGGGGTTAGAAACTTTCGTCATCTTGCTGCAGAATGGACACGGGAGAGACTTGGCACTGAGGGCTTCCCGTCTGGTTTTGGTGTAGTTGACGACACATTTCCGACAGAAGGTGTGATTACACACAAGTGTACAGGGCTTGTCAAACACCTCTGTACATATGGTGCATGTCAGGAAGTGTTCTGTCAACTTCTGGGAGGTCGCCATCTCTCCTACCAAAAGTCAGCAGACACGACATAAACATCCTTTCCACTATACAAACCACAACATTCATTACATAAACACCGACCATATTTGTAGTCCCGATTTACTGACAGGTCTAAAAGAACTATGTCTAGTAAATCCTGCTCTTGGAATTATGAACGAATGAAAACATATTCCAGATGTATGTAGATCCTATAATCAATGAGAGATAACATTGGTAGACGTGTTTCAACTGGGCCGTGTGTATTGTGTGTGTATGATATGAGCGTGTGTGGGTCGCTCTGTCTTGCTGGTCATAAATAAAACATGGGCCGTCTGTATTGTGTGTGTATGATGTGTGCCTGTGTGGGTCGCTCTGTCTTGCTGGTCATAAATAAAACATGGGTCGTCTGTATTGTGTGTGTATGATGTGTGCCTGTGTGGGTCGCTCTGTCTTGCTGGTCATAAATAAAACATGGGTCGTCTGTATTGTGTGTGTATGATGTGTGCGTGTGTGGGTCGCTCTGTCTTGCTGGTCATAAATAAAACATGGGTCGTCTGTATTGTGTGTGTATGATGTGTGCCTGTGTGGGTCGCTCTGTGTTGCTAGTCATAAATAAAACATGGGTCGTCTGTATTGTGTGTGTATGATGTGTGCCTGTGTGGGTCGCTCTGTCTTGCTGGTCATAAATAAAACATGGGTCGTCTGTATTGTGTGTGTATGATGTGTGCGTGTGTGGGTCGCTCTGTCTTCCTGGTCATAAATAAAACATAGTACACCTATTCTATCAGATATTTCACGTTATACACAAACAATCTTGTATTTGAGAAGCGTTAGAAACTGGATATTGGATGAAGGGAAGTGACCGTCTGTTGGTTGGATTCTGTCCGTCTTGTAGATTCTTTCTTTGGCCTGATATTGATACTGGATACTTTTTCATACGTAAAACACAGAACATACAATCCCTCAGATATTTCACGGTTTACACAAACACAAAATTCTCTCCTTTGCCTGACATACTGGAACCGTTGAGCCACAATACGAAGGTTTTTAGACACTTGTGGTGCCTTTGTACTGATTTCTGAACTTACTTAATTTTAGAATACAACTCTTAATTACAGCACATTTCTTTGTTGTTGTTTTTGTTGGTTTCAAAGCTTGCTCGTTTACGGTATTAATTCATAATTTAGTTCAGGTGTTTAGTTCAAGAAACACTGCCATGAAAGTCAGTCGGTCGGTCCCCCGTGCTGTTGTATGAGTTGTGATATTGTGCTATAGGAATATGTTATCTTTTGAGGTTCACAAGCATTACCACATGACATTGTATGGTATAACAGACTGGGCATAGTTTGGTGTCACGGAGCACAAGGAATCAGTGACCTGTCTGTGAGCAGCTCGTCAATGGATCTTTGCAACTCGTCGTCACCAGCATTACAACATGCAGTTATGAACCGTGTGCAGCATGTCAATCACCTGACAGAGATACATGGCGACACCAGCTCATTACCATATCGAAAGTAGGAGACGTTCAGTTCGGGTTTCTCTACATTAGATGTAAAATAATCTGTTAATGTAGAAGTATTTTACCATATTTTGTGCTGTAGCATTTATCTGTGATCATTTCAGTAACAACTTTAGCAAACACACATTATATACATACATCCACATACATCGGGACAGATCTCAGTATTGAAGTCAAGAGGCCGATCAAGGAAGTAATGAAAGTAGACACTCCATACACTATGCTCAGTCTAAATATTACAGTATATTAGGCGCCCGGATTTGAGAATGTGCCTGGAGATGACCTAACAGTTAGATGAACCATTGTAGTGTTACCTGTACACAGCAGGACAGGTGTGTAGCTTATAACTGGAATAGACACAGCCCCTGTGACAACACACTTACCTGAGACAGACAGGTAACCGGTGTAGAGGGAAACTGAGCACCAGGCGAGATAGACCCTAGGTAACCGGTGTAGAGGGAAACTGAGCACAGGAAGAGATATACCGTATAGGTTTGACGTGGTTCATTCGTGATGAACTCGTCATTCAGGGACCAGCGGTTTTCATATTACGGAAAGGAACGAGTGATTTCGAATGGGTGATTGTGTTTTGAAATCGCCTTGGATACGCAGGGTCACGATTCAAGATTTATTGTCGCAGTTGTATAGCTGCTGTGATAGCTGGATGACTGCATATACACTCATTCACTTACTCACTCACTCACTCAGGAATAAGGCACACCGTTACCTTTTTGTGAAATCATGAACATTCATGTTATGACGCGTCTGTTCGTTTGATTCCCCAAATGGACCAAATGTGAGAAGCCCATTTCAGGTGTCCCCCGCCATGATACTGCTAAAAGCGGTGTTAAATCACTCCCTCTCTTTTCTGAGTATGGTCAAGACTTCACATTTATTTGTACTGACGTTTGATATGTAAGTGTAAATACTGAAGTGTACGGGACGAGAAGTTTGTTGTGCGGGTATCACAGATGGCGACCATGTCCGTGAGAGCTCATTGTCATGATACCCGCACGTTGACCCTCAAAATTACTGAACGATGTCGGTGGACTCACATATACTTGTGTACAGATTGGTCAAGACTGACATGTGGTCAACATAGGTCACGAACCGTATGTTTCATTCCACATGAGATTCTGGTTATCAAGGATCAAGAAACATCTGCCTGTCTACGTGGGGACTATATAAATAGGTTCCGTCACTGGGAAGAATAATTGTTGTCATACACGGACTGCTTGGGTGCTGCCATAATAGCAACCACTCGTTTATCCGGCCAACATTCGACTATATACAGACTACCGTCATCAACATGTGGCTGGAAATCTGAGTGCTTCGTTGACCATCAAGTAGACATGTACACTGTGTACGAGGGGTTATCAAAACTTTTTGAGCCTGAAATACTTCTGATATGTGCATGATACAAAGTAACTGTATGATATGGAAGAAAGGTTTATATCATTCACATAAACGTAATTATGACATGAACATGAGGCTAGTTTTCGGTCACGTGACATGTACCCCTATTGAAACTGCAGAAATGGATAAGTCTTGTGTACAGAGCATTCATCAAATTTTTGGTCGTCGAGGGCCACTCGGCGAAGCACCTTGAAGAGCGATTGACAGTACCCCATGGGACTCAGTACTCGTACTGCTACTCGAACATCGCTCTTCAATGTGCCCCTCGTATGTCTGTTTACAACACACGGGAAGTTCGGGAACAGCTCAAGTGGTGATACACTATTCGGGCGTTCGCTGTTATTGCTCTATTAAAATACCTCATCACGAGTTATCTCCCTTCCACCACCAAGTTGCCAAGTCATTGCAGTAACAGGGGTGTGGGTAATGGGGTGGGGTGTGTGGGGGTGGCGGGGAGGGGCTTGTGATCGTGTTGAACAGAAGGCAGCTCAGACATATGCCATTTGACGTACGTACAACTCTCCCATGTGAAGATATCCCAGAAACATCTGTGGTCTACCTGCTCTACATCTGTAGTCTGCCCGCTCTACATCTATAGACTACCTGCTCTACGTCTGTAGTAAACCTGCTCTACAACTGTAGTCTACCTCCTCTACATCTGTAGTCTACCTGCTCCACATCTGTAGTAAACCTGCTCTACAACTGTAGTCTACCTGCTCTACATCTGTAGTCAACCTGCTCTACAACTGTAGTCTACCTGCTCCACATCTGTAGTCTACCTGCTCTACATCTGTAGTCTACCTGCTCTACATCTGTAGTCTACCTGCTCTACATCTGTAGTCTACGTGCTTTACATCTGTAGTCTGCCTGCTCTACATCTGTAGTCTACCTGCTCTACATCTGTAGTCTACCTGCTCTACATCTGTAGTCTACCTGCTCTACATATGTAGTCTACGTGCTTTACATCTGTAGTCTGCCTGCTCTACATCTGTAGTCTACCTGCTCTACACCTGTAGTCTACCTGCTCTACATCTGTAGTCTACCTGTTCTACATCTGTAGTCTACCTGCTCTACATCTGTAGTCTACGTGCTCTACATCTGTAGTCTACGTGCTCTACATCTTTTTTCTACACGCTCTACATATGTAGTCTACCTCCTCTACATCTCTAGTCAACCTTCTCTACATCTGTCGTCTACCTTCTATACATCTGTAGTCTACCCGCTCTACATCTGTAGTCTACCTGGGCTACATGTAGAGCCTACCCCCTCTACATATGTAGTCTATCTTCTCTACATCTGTAGTCTACCTGCTCTACGTCTGTATTCTACCTGCTATACATCTGTAGTCTACCTGCTCTACATTTGTGGTCTACCTGCTCTACATCTGAAGTCTACCTGCTCTACATCTGTTGTCTACCTGCTCTACATCTGTAGTCTATCTGCTCTACATCTGTAGTATGCCTGCTCTACATCTGTAGTCTACCTGCTCTACATCTGTATTCTACCTGCTCTACGTCTGTTGTCTACCTGCTCTACATCTGTTGTCTACCTGCTCTACATCTGTAGTCTACCTGCTCTACATCTGTAGTCTACCTGCTCTACATCTGTTGTCTACCTGCTCTACATCTGTTGTCTACCTGCTCTACATCTGTAGTCTACCTGCTCTACATCTGTAGTCTACCTGCTCTACATCTGTTGTCTACCTGCTCTACATCTGTTGTCTACCCGCTCTACATCTATTGTCTACCCGCTCTACATCTGTAGTCTACCTTCTCTACATCTCTAGTCTACCTTCTCTACATCTGTTGTCCACCTGCTCTACATCTGCACGGTTCTCTCAAACCCACAAAGGCCTGTCTTTCATGTCACTGTTATTTATTTATTGTTAATGTCTCACAAGGGTATAATATCAAACAAAAAAACATACATCTTTGTTCGTACACCAGTCTGTTTTTCCTCACGGTCAATAGATCGTGGTCACTGTGCCTTCTTAGTGTTTTACTTTCATTCCATGTCCGCTGTGACCTCATTCCGTGATTGATGGCAATTCGTGGATAACACCCGTGAAGATCCGGGTCAGTAACCCATGCTGGTCGTAAGAGGCGACTAACGGGATCGGGTAGTCAAGCTCGCTGACTGGATTGACACATGTCATCGTATCCCAATTACGTAGATTGATGTTCATGCTGTTGGTCCCTGGATTGTTTGGTCCAGATCCGATTATTTACAGACCGCCGCCATATAGCTGGAATATTGCTGGGGTGCGGGGTAAATTCGCTCACTCACACACTCGTGGATAACAAAAAAGAAATGTCTACATTTCTCATCAAAGTGTAAACACCACAATGCAGAAATGAAACGAAGCTTTTGCAATATTTACTGATAATTACAAGTTTCCAACAAGTAGATACAACTCCTGGATGATTAAGTCCACTACACTACCACTAGTCGTGGGGCTAAACTACCACCAGTCGTAAGGCTACACTACCACTAGACGTGAGGCTACACTGCCACTAGTCGTGAGGCTACAATACCACTAGCCGTGAGGCTACACTACCACTAGTTTTGAGGCTACACTACCAATAGTCGTAAGGCTACACTACCACTAGTCGTGAGGCTACACTGCCACTAGCCCTGAGGCTACATTACAACTAGTCGTAAGGCTTCAATACCACTGGTCGTGAAGCTACAATACCACTAGTCGTGAGGCTACACTACCACTAGCCGTAAGGCTACACTACCACTAGTCGTGAGGCTACACTACCACTAGCCGTGATGCTACAATACCACTAGTCTTGAGGCTACACTACCACTAGTCGTGAGACTACAATACCACTAGTCGTGAGGTCTACAATACTACTAGTCGTGAGGCTACACTACCACTAGTCGTGAGGCTACACTGCCACTAGTCGTGAGGTCTACAATACTACTAGTCGTGAGGCTACAATACCACTAGTCGTGAGGCTACACTACCACTAGTCGTGAGGCTACACTGCCACTAGTCGTGAGGATACACTGCCACTAGTCGTGAGGCTACACTACCACTAGTCGTGAGGCTTCACTACCACTGGTCGTGAGTCTACACTACCACTAGTCGTGAGGCTACAATACTACTAGTCGTGAGGATACACTGCCACTAGTCGTGAGGCTACACTACCACTAGTCGTGAGGCTACACTGCCACTAGTCGTGAGGCTACACTGTCACTAGTCGTGAGGCTACACTGCCACTAGTCGTGAGGCTACAATAACCACTAGTCGTGAGGCTACACTACCACTAGTCGTTACGCTACAATACCACTAGTCGTGAGGCTACACTGCCACTAGTCGTGAGGCTACACTGCCACTAGTGGTGACGCTACAATACCACTAGCCGTAAGGCTACACTGCCACTGGTCGTGAGGCTACACTACCACTAGTCGTGAGGCTACAATACCGCTAGTCGTGAGGCTACACTGCCACTAGTCGTGAGGCTACACTACCACTAGTCGTAAGGCAGCACTACCACTAGTCGCGAGGCTACACTACCACTAACCGTGAGGCTACACTACCACTGATCGTGAGGCTACACTGCCACTAGTCGTGAGGCTACACTACCACTAGTCGTGAGGCTACACTACCACTAGTCGTGAGGGTACATTACCACTAGTCGTGAGTGTGATACAGAGGGATCTCCTTGATACTTGTTGGTTTCAGTAACACATGGTCCAAGACTTGCAGGCCACCAGTCACATAAACACGGACATCTGCCTGGACAGACAGAACTGTTCCTTCATCACTCATCATGGACTGCATCTTGGTAACTGACGCATACCCTGACCCACTGACATGTCCAGTGTAAATACAATATATATGCTTACCCTTGATTTCAGCCAGGCAGTATTTGATATACACTACAATAAAACAATTTGTGACACGTTTCATTGCAATAACGACACGAATCCAAGTACACCTACACTGGAGGGTAAGTATTTTAGGAAATCATAGTTAAAACTACACCTCTTTAAAATAAGTTTTTCTCCAGATTTGATGTTGGGTGGTTCAAGTACAATGTACTGTTTATATGTAATCATAACAAATAATTGCAGCCAATTTCAGGGAATATATAATGTGATGACATATTACAAGAGACCGTGCTAATACATATGAACAATTACCTTTTAGGTCATGCTGGAATCTACGTTTTTACGTGTTCCCCATAATTATCTTTGTTTTAAAACATTGAAAAAGCTTAAATGCTAACAGCTCGAGATATATACGAAAAAAGCTACATTGAAATGGTGTTTTCAATCTAACCCTCGCAGAGGAAGTCAATCACTTTTGTCGTGGAAACGATCGCCTGTCGTACAGGATCACAGGATGAGTTAAATAATGGTTGCAGTCTTTGTCCTGGTGGCTCTGGATCTACACAGATGGCTCTTCATTCTAATTTCAGGATGCTGTTCTTCCACAAGGCTACAAGGCTAGCAACTGCCATGCATCAGCTGTCTTGACACCATTCTGAACAGTCTAACAACGACTGTTATTTGAAATCTTTACAAGGGGCTCGACGTGGAGTAACACCATCGATACATCTGTACACAAATGCTCCCGAGCTGTCATGGAGTTGGACACCTTTGAACTTCTGGACATTATCACAGATACAAGTTTGTGGTTATTTCCGTCTTTAAACATTCACCGCCTCCTGCTCTGTTTGAAATCTTTCACCAGTCGGGACATTTCCTCCAGACCCTCAAACACACCCTCCCCGGTCGTAGCGCATGTCCCCTGACTGTACCACTTCCGGTCCGTCATCTTCTGAAGGTGAAGGGCGTCCACTACTTCCGACAACTTGGCGGCAGCTTCAGGGCAGAAACTTTAGATGAAGAAGAGATCTAGAGGTTGTTGTATGTCAGTATGTCAATGAAATGTCTTTACGTTTGCTTAATACTCATAAATCTACCGAAACCAGAGTTTGGATGTTGAAGGATAAGCTCTACTGTTATTATGACAGCAAAGTTTGGGAAAAGTAAATTCTACTGAACTGGTCTAAAACAAAGTGGGGTTTTTCATTGAAATCAGAAATAAACTGATTGAAATATTGTGAAATATTATCCAAATTGATGACATCAGAAATTGCCTGAATCACCCC